TCTGCCATTTCCACTGGGCTAATTTGGGAAAAGGGAATTTCTCCTGAAAGGAAAGGTTTTTCTCACWTTTTATGGGAAAGAGTGGAACACTGTAGCCTGTGAACTGCCCCAGCCCTCTCCAGAATCTGGTTCAAATCTAGCTGATCAGCCAAAGAGGCAGCTCTGCACTGGGAAATAAAGGGGCAATACTGGGACATTTGCACCCTGTCACCTCCTCTGTGCTCAGATGTGATCCATGAAATCTAAGATATCTAAATCCCAGTCCAGCTTCAAGCAAGGGTAAGAGGGTTTTCTGGTGAGGTCATCCACATCTTGGCTAGCCCTCCTGCAGACAAGGAAATATCCTTTGGAATTTACCTATCAGTTCAGCTGTAAGTAGGTTTCTTTTAATGAGTAAAGTCATAAAAACAGTGAGAATTTCTACCCACAGAACAGACTCAATCCCCAAACTGGCAGTGAACTGGCAGGAAGAGACCTCATCTGTCCCCTGGGGAGGGTCTCAGTGACCCTGGATGAAGTACATGGCACAGCACAAGCATGACAGAGAASTTGTCTCTATTTCTTTAGGGACAGCCATATGGAGCCTGTACAACCAGGAGAGCTCCCTAAGCACACACAGCTCTCCACCTGTGACAAGTTGCWTCTGTCAAGCCACTTTCCTTTGTTGTTTCTGTACCCAGCAGTCATTCCGGGTAGCAATGGGTCTTACTAAAGTGATCACTTTCATTACCTCCTCATCCCTCAGTTATGGGAATGGAAGTTATGACTACTCCCCCTTCCATATATTCCTGTGTATGGAAGTTGAGTGTCTTTGCAACTCCTATGGCTTGGTGCAGCCTAATATCTTCATTTCAATTGCACTCAATTTATGCACAACCGTGTTTCTCATAAGCATTATTCCACTACAGTGGGTCATAAAAAGGGCCTTCAACTAAGTACAAATGTCTGGGAAGGCACCCACTTGRCTAAAGTTTTCCAAGTGTTCATCTCGGGGATGATTGGCTTGGTTTTGGTTTCCTACCTGGAGTTTCAATTGCTAAAATACCTTGGTACATTTTATATATGCAGTATTTAATGTGACAYTATACACAGGGCTCTCAGAATTGTAAACAGCTCTCTTTATTACATGTAGTAGAAAAAGGTTTCACAACCTTTCATCYGTTCAAAGATCAGAAAAAGTTTTTTTGTTTCCCCTTCTATGGAACGAAATTAAACAAACTCCAATATGCCAAGGTCTTTACTAAGACTGGAGCTCCTCTACAGCAYGTCAGTGATCACAGGCTCAAACTCTGGAACATAAGAGACATAGCTAATATAAGTTGCAATACAGTAAATAGTATTCCTCTCCCATACAGATACGAGTTATCCCTTTACTTCCTCCCTCCCATTCATTCTGTCACCTCTGATAAACTCCACCTGTTTGTACAACCTGCTCACACCAAACTATTACTTCATCTTGGCTGTTCTGTGATACTAAAAAGTGAATAGTTGATTCCTTTTTTACTGCTTCAGRACATTCTCATTCTTGTGAAATCCCATAAACCCAGACTACCATTTTCACCAACCAYTGCTCCCTTTTACTAGAAAAATTATAAAGTCAACTGTTTCTTAGACAATCAAAATCCATAGAAGTAGTCTTCCAAATTCACATTCTAATCAGTTGTAGCTCTCATAAAACCATGTRTCAGCTAACAAATTTACAAATTTGTAGGTATAAATAATAAAGGCATGCAGCAGAAACAAAGTTCCACATCTACAGTTCAARCCAGAATATAGTCCAACACCTAAATTACCGAGAATTCAGAAAACCAGATATTTGTAGCATAAAGATTAATATTCTTTCCTGATCCAGTATTTTCCTTTGCTTTTTTAATCTCTAAAAAGTATTTAATGAGATATCAATGCATTAGAAGATTACCTGATTTCACAAGTAAGACAGTATTAACTATTTTAATGTCCATTTTAATGCTTTCCATACTGATCAAATTATTTATGACACGCAAACTAAGCTTTTTTTGTTAATTTATCCCTCTACTTCCTGTTTTATTTTATATTGTTAAAAGAAAAATGTTCTATTAATTCCCCATGCAAATATAGGATCAGTGGGTCTGCCAGAAGTTACTCTGTAGTTTCAAACTACAGACTTGCAGGATTTTCTGTACCAATCAAATTATAAAGTCTGCTCTGCTGCATTTGACAACTAATTTCTGAGCCTCCAAGACAAGCCACAATCCCCCACCTTAAATTCACTATTTAAATTTGCAACATGAAATARATAACTCTTCTGTGAGTTCATACCCTCCGTTATTAAATTGGTTTACCCTTAGCATAACAATATTTTGCACAATAGCTGCTATTTAATCACTAGACTTTGAAAAATTCTCCACCAACCCATCTCAAAAATTAGACTTCAGTTATTTATCAAACCYATCTTTTCAAGCCAAAGCAATGCAATTACCACTAGTGGCAGAACTGCGCTAAGTGCAGCTATATGTTGAAATGAGCAACAAGAGAAGATTAAATGATTTTGTGGACAATTGTATGTTTGATTTATGTCAACTGCCATTACCCTAAGACACAAAGCCTCTTTCTGGGAGAGTAAAAGCAAACCATTTACCATATAATATCAGCTTAGCAGGCTTTGTGCTGATGAATAYTGCATTCAGAGAAGCAATTCTTTACATTGCAATTTCTATGTAAACCCTGCATCTCCGGGAATACAAATACCTAAGTTTATCAACTGGCTTCACATTTTAACTAATGCTCAGCTTAAACTTGGTGGGAAGAACATTTTTATTAGAATAAATATGGACTGAGTGAAAACTGAATCTGTAGGGAGAAGATGAGCTCTGAAAGCAAAACAAACCCACTGCCTAGACAGATACAGCTGACAAAGACAGTGACTAAGCTTCCTGTGGTCACTACAGGATTCAAGAGCCATCCCCAAACTACAGCAGTAACTTAAATGATTAAAAAAAACTCCTACCCACCATTCAAACTTCAGGGACAAAGACAGATGATCAAAGGGAGACTACACAGAACTCCTGAGAAAGAACAGGTAAACAAACCTCAGACACATGCATGAGGAGCTGTGCATGCATGGAACTCCAGTGAGACATGCCACATCATTCCAATCCAGGAGAGTCCCATGAGGGACTCCACTGCGGATCAGACCTTCAGAGGTCAGCACCAAAAATTTGCAAAAGCAGGGCCACAACAGATCACTTGACAGAAATCCAAAAGTTCTATTCTCCTGGGAACATTCTCTCACCAAGAGCATAGGCCTGGTCCAAGTCCGCTACAAGTTAATGATGGGGTATGGGTTTGCTGTTTGATTTTTTTAGAATAGCCTTTCTGATAAAAAAAAAGGGCAGAAAGAAATAAAGCATTATATCTGCCCTCTGTAAATATTTGCTTCTGAATTCTGTTTAGCTAGYGGCTTGGGATTTGTCTTCCCCTGAAATGTTTGAGAAATAACAGAGCTTAAAAAAATTTKAAACACTTAAGCAAAAATATTCAAATTGAACATAGAGTATGCCATGTACAAAACTAGGAAAAACAAGTGAGTTCACAGAGCTATGCAAATCTGACTTTTACTAGCCAAGATATTTCTTAACAAAACTAGGAAAACACATCTACATATGTCACAGAAGGTAAAACTGCARCAATTCTATTAGATACAGGAACAGATTTCTCACATGTAATCARTGTGCCTACTGGTCATCACCTCTCAGGTCACTAGCCTGTGGACTCCTATTTCTTCTCACTTTTCAGAGTAAAATTAAGRCTGATATGCTTTCATTCCTAAAGGATAAGGAATGAAAACAATTTTTCAGATTCCTGTATTTATTCAAGCATCTTTTATGGAGCAGGCACAACAACTCAGTGAGATTTATTAGTGCTATAAACACTCATAAACAAGATCACTCAGCTTCAAGTGACTTAAAAAACTGTAATCAAAACACTGAATCGGCACACCTGACAAACTCCAACATCTGTGGTCAACAAAAATCCCATTGCTCTCCAAAAAGAGGGCAAAAGCAAAACTAGTATATCCCATCACATATCTTACAGAAAACTTTTCTTAAAAACAAAAACAAAAAACAAACAAAAAAAAAAAAATCAAACTTCGTCCTGCTTTTGATTCAGAGCCTACAGCAAGGCTCATTTATTTCCAGTCTGGATTTTGCAAGAGGAAACCAGGTACAGCGGAGGAGACATGCATGTGAACTCTTCTATTCTAAGCCAAAAAGCACCAGACCAAGTAAAACCAAACAACTGAGAGACCTCTCCTAGTTCTCACACTTAACTTGCACCTCAATGAGAAATGTCTAAAGACACAGAGCACGAGCCGGACCGCCAAACCACGGGGCCCCAATCCCAAACKCCTCCGGCTCGCAGAAGGTTTGGGATTTGCTCCTCCCGCGAGTGGAAACTTGTGAAGGTTCTGTTTGCTTTTCTAAGCGCATTACGGAGATAATTTCGTCCCTTTATTTATTTATTTCTAAAGAGGGCAGGACACCCTTAAGCCTAGAGCCACGTTCTGTAGCACGAGTACAGTCCAGCCGTGACCCTCCCGGCGGGGTCCCCGCACAGCCCCGGGCCTGGCTCCCCCCGCCAGGCTCACCTGTGTCCCCGCACCGACACCCCCGGCGGACACCTCAGTCCCCCACAAGGCGGCAGCCCCGGGGGCAGGGGGACAAGTCACCCCATGGGCAGCGGGACAAGCCASCCTAGGGGATGCGGGACGAGTCACTCCGGGAGCAGGTGGGCAGCCCAGAGCCATTCCCGATCCTCTCCGCAGCCGGGGCTGAGGCTGCGCTCCCACAGCCTCCACGGCGATGGCTGCTCCTGCTGCCTCACGGTGCGGGGGGAGGAAGGAGGGAAGGCAGGGGGAGATTCTCAGTCTCCAGCGGCAGCTGCCAGGGCTGTTTCCGCGTGGAGCGCCGTGGCGGAAGGTACCCRGCTCCCCTCAGGACCCGGCTCCCCTCAAGACTCACCTCCCGCCCGGTCCGAGCGCGGCGCCGCCCCCGCGCTAATGGCAGCGGGCGGGCCCCCGGCGGGGGCCGATGTTTACCCGCCGGCTCTCGCGAGAGCCGCGCGCCGCCGAGCCCCACGCCGCGATTGGCCGCGCCTTCCGGCGCGCGCCGCCCGGCCCGCCCCGGCCGGCCCCGCCCCTTCCCTCCTGCCCCGTGCTGCTCCGCCCGCGCCGCCCGGCGTCCTCTGCAGCGGAGCTCGGAGCTCGGAGCTCGGAGCTCGGAGCCGGGCGGGCAGAGAGGGATCACCGGTGGAGTCTGGTCCAGCCTCCCTGTCCAGCAGGGATATCCCAGAGCACACGGCACAGGACTATGTCCAGACAGTTCTGCAATATCCCCAGCGACGRAGACTCCTCACCCTCTCCGGACAGTCTGGTCATGGCTCGGTCACTGCMCAGGACAGAAGTTCCTCCTCCTGTCCAGGTGGAACYCCCTGGGCATCAGTTCCTGCCCGTCCCTCTGGGGCCATTGCTGGGCCCCCYGGAGCAGAGCCTGGGCCCTGCTGGGAGCCCTCCCTGCACACAGGGACACACAGGGCTCAGGGCCCCTCTCAGCTGGGGCTCCTCTCGAGGCTGAACAGCCCCAGCTCCMTCAGCCTTTCCCTGGCACAGATGCTCCAGGCCCTGAATCATCTCCRCAGCCCCKGCTGGMCCCRCTCCAGGAAYTCCATGTCTCTCATCCTGAGGAGCCCAGAGCTGGACAGAACGCTCCAGATGTGCCTCASAGGGCTAAGCAGAGRGGCAGGATGACCTCCCTCTACCTGCTATCAATGCTCTTCCCAGTGCAGCCCAGGATCCCATCTCTCCAGCCAAGCATAAACGTTGGCACTCARCAGGCTCTGGCAGTCGGGACTCACCGAAGGGCTCGTTTGTGAGGGCACTCACAGTCAGGACTTAAACTGGCCTCAGCAGGAGCTCGAACAGAAGACAGCAGAATTAAGTAGAAACAGAGCATTGGSAGGCCTTTTGCCTTGATTTCAGGGGCTGCCCTGTGCAGGGCAAGGGTTTGGACCTCTATTCCTTGTGGGTTCCTTACAACTCGGGGTGTTCTGTGGCTCTGTGATTTAGTTGTCTCTGTCCCACTGCTGAAGCACAAGGCTGAGGGTGTTAACACAGGCAGATCAGGGAAACCCTGCTGTGGTTTCAGTACTACCTGAGCAGAAACAAAGCAACAGCGTTTATGGGGAAAGCTGCTATCCCAAGGATGCAGTAGTACAGATTTCATACAAATCCAGCTATGCAAAAGGCAGATCTGTGAGCTCAKATTGGAGGAATGACAAAGTACAATCATCTGCTTCCATCACAACATGGAGCGTGTGGAAGTGGGTAAGTTTGTCTTGATGTCATCAGTTGACTTGAAGAGAGTTGCTTGTGAGGAGGACTTAATTGACAGACAGATTTGMTTTATTTTACCTCATTAGTCTTTATGTGGAGATAAGGAACTTAGGAGCTTTGTTCACTAAAGCAGATTTCTTGCCCAGAGACCTTAGAATTTCAAGACCTGCAGGCAGAACCAGGGAATCTACCATGGGCCTCCCTGAGTGCTGTGGACCTACCTGCTGAGACCAGGTTTTGAAAGCATTAGATCTGGTAGGTTTGAAATAACAGAAGCCTACAATTAGCATGTTTTAACTTGAGTGAGGTGCAGGAGTGCTTCCTGAAGGGACTGGCTGCCCTTTGGGATGTCTGAGCTCTGGTTCCACATTTGAAACTGGAGGTAATGAAGTTGTGCACTCACATTCACCATGTGTTGAAAGCATGGACACACAACCCAGAAACAGAATTAGCAAGAGGGGGAAAGACACTCTGCGAGAAATAAATCCAAAATAAACTGGTTATGGATCTAGAAAAGTGATATTTCACTAAAGCACTCATCCCAGAGCAAAAGGCCTCAAAAATCTGTGTAACAAATGATAAGTGGGAGTGACAGACACCTCTACCYCCCAGCAGGAATGGGGACTGGTTTTGACTGGGGATTTCTGGTGTKTGTAAGTTGTAAGCTTTGATTTCAGTAGCTCACTCTTGTCTGCTCTCCAAAGCTGCCACGGGGAAGTTGAGGCAGGCAAGGTCAGTCTRGGAGATGATGAGGGCCAGCTGTGACAATGAAAATGGAATGAATATTCACAACATGACATTCCAGTTCCTGACTTGCTGCTGCTGCTCCTTTGGTGGGTCCTGCCAGCACAGCAGATGGCAAGCACTGAAAGGCTGTTGTGCCAGTGGAAAACTACTGAGTTTTGCTGGTTTGTGTGCATGTATGTGGAKGTGTGAGGGGAGAAGTGGGGCAAACTTTCATTTATTTAATTATTTTCAAGAGAGAAAGGAAAACAAATGGKTGCCTAAGACTACAAAAATTATTGAGAACATTTAAAGAACCAATCTCTTGTTTTAGAGGAATGAGGCATATGTGTTTGCGTTCTAAATTTTCTGTGTAATTCCACGTAACTTTCCTCATAAATTAGGATCATGAAATTTTCTAAATAATCGTGCATTTAACAAGAGAAACAATATATTAATAAAAGCACCGGCTGTTGCTGAACAGATGTATGGAAAATCTAACTATTTCATGTTTCTATTTYTATGTGGCTGTAAAAGCATTTATGTTAACGGACATTCCATTCCAAAACACACATGGTTTATTTTAATTTTCTAATTCTTAATATATGTTTTTAACAGAGCTGTACACATAGAAGGTTACCTCACWGCTGTAAAAGATTGATTAACAGATTCATCACTGTTGAAGCTGAAGTTAGTGGGCTGATGCTTCATGTGAACAGTTAAGCTTGTCCATAGTCTCTGAAGGTCTGTACACTTAAAGAAATCTACAACAAAATGCTCGTCCTGAAATGAGCCATGGCAGAACCAAACCTGCAGTGTCTGCTCAGGTAAATTAAGTTTGTTGTTGAAGGAGAGCTGACACAAACACTTAAGGTTTTAACCCAAACTGCTGCAGTGGAACCATAATCAACAGTTCAATAACTTCCATTTCTGTGTACTTTAAGAGTTAACCCTTAATACAGAAATATAAACACCTATTCACTGTGTAGAAGGAAAGCATCTATTAAGCTGCCAGGCATAGGAGTTGRACAGGCATTTTGAAACAAAATCTTTGCTCTGAACATGCAAACTTCTGCAGGCTGTGTACTGCCCCAGTCCTGCAAGCTGTGACAAGCAGCCAAAGGTCCTGCGCCCTCTGCTCAAATGGCCCCGGCTGCAGCAGCAGCAGGATCCACCCCGGGGTGCAGCAATTAAAAGAAAACACAAAAGCCCAAATACCTCTTGTCAAATTCCACTGAACCTCTGAAGCCTTCAAAAAACTTAGGGGAAGGTCTGTGGCAAAGCAAAACAATGTTGTCCTCGGTATTGTAGTTCAAAGAGGGAGAGCTTATCAGAGAAAGGACATTTATGTGAGGCCGTTGACATTTCTTTCTTTGCAGTCAATTGGTGTAACAAATCCAAATTGCTGTATCAGAGTCATGTGGGAGATGTCTCTTGGAAAGAATCTGAGGGGGTTTTAACCATGAAAGCTCTATTTCAGCATCAGAAATAACCTATAAATGTTTAATTCACAAGTAGTTTGCATCTAACTGCTTAATTAACATTTAGGAATAAATTCTGACTTCCTTTTCTTTATTTCTTACTTAATTACTTTCTAATATAGTCCAGGTGTATTTCTTAAGAATAAGCCAGAAAAATTCCAAAACATTTAAGATTGGTCAGGAAATAATGCAGAGGTAGGTAAGCATAGTTCAAGCCATTCAGAAACATTCCCACAATTTTTCTACTGGCTTATTATGACTTTTTAAGCTGCTGTTAATACTACTTCTAATCCAAATTTTACTTGTAACTCCCTAATCTGTTTGAATAACAAAAGTATATGATTTTGATATTTAATAGGTAGAAGGCCAGGAAGAAAGGCAAATCCTTTAATCTATTTTATGACACTTAGCATTGTGCTGTTGCGCAATTCTGATAGTATTTCACACCTGTTGAATGTACTGTAGATCTTTAGCAGTGAATCAAATGCTTAGAAAAAGCTGCCACATAGAAAAAAAATGTAATTCCTTAAAAGGTGGAATATACATTTAAAAGCAGGCACATATTGGTCAAACTTTATATGCAATGTTTCAGAATTGAATTAAACTATTTAGATCTTGGGTCTGCAAGTTCTTGAAGAGTGAGATGACTCAGAAATTCATTGGGTTTACTTCTGTGAGATCATTCACAGAAGTAACATTTGCTCATGCAGTTATTTCCTGTCATGCCCCATCTTTAGGAAATTGTCATCAATATTTAAAAAMCTATTCACATCAGAATGTCTGCACTAGTTCAGACCTGGGCTCTGTCTCAGTCACATTTCTGTCTTCCTGGTGATCATGGTCTGGCATCTAAGGAAAAGGAAGAATAGAAAAAAATCACAAAGGATTCCTTTAAAGCTGCCTTGCCCTCCACCTATCCCAAGCCTGATGTTTTCTGTCTAAGTAGTAACTCCAAGGGTTTGTTCTTCCAAATGCTTGGCAGTCTACTCTTAAAAGCCTTTAAACATCTTGTATTCCCAGCACACGGGGCTTCAACCACCTGTTGTGTGAAATTCACCTCCTTTTGCTTGTCCTGAACCTGGTTCTGAGAGCATCTTGGTGTGGACCCTGGTTTTGTCACCAGCATAGAACTGTCAATCCATGTCCATCCTGGTAATGCTACTCTTGGTTTTATATCCTGTACTCTCTGAGCTTTCTTTATTCCAGGCTAAAGAGCCCTAGCCTGGAAGCCGTTCCATACTTTCATCAGTCGTGTTGCCATGTTGCAATTTCTATTACATTTTTGGAAGTGAAGAAACCAGAATGTCACCATTCAAAGTGTGGATGAAAGATGAAGGTAACCAGGGGCATATAATTTTTGCCTCACTTCTTAATCTGGAGGTCCATTTGCTATGTCTCTTAAAAATAGGAAAAAGTTAAATGATGTCAACAAATAGGGAATATTAGTTCAATTTTTA